GAGAGAGAGAGAGAGAGAGAGAGAGAGAGAGAGAGAGAGAGAGAGAAGCAAGCAGGGCATACCTACACCATTGGCTGATCAAATACAAACACAGCAAACAGACTGGGGATTAGAATTCTCAGCAAAACAGATAAACAGGACATCATTTCCTCAGAAAAGCGCCGAGTTGTCAGTCTGCGACCGTGCGGGTCCTTGGACACAGCACAAGAAAGATAACGTTCCTCCCATGGAACAGCACATATACCAGGTGAACTACCTTCTTCCCCCGAATACAATGTACGGTCATTATAGCTGGATTTAGACTGAAAGATACCCCCAATACAGCAATAATGACCGTACGTTGTATTGGAGGGAAGAAGGTAGCGGCCGCATAAAGAAAACAATAGTTCGTTTGTAGTCCCTTCGGAATTCATGCAAGCGAAGCTGCAACGGGTCATATAGTCTAGTACAACTAAAAGTAACAGCGGTCCCACCGTCACACGCAGCCGTGGGCCCACGGAAAATCGTGGGATGCGGGCGAGGGGGGATGAATGGTGAAGAAGGCAGACGTTTACTATCAAATGGTGACTGATCAAATGGTGACTGGCAGGCTGATAGAGGGTACAGGGTGATAAAAAAAAAAAGAGGAGGGTAGAGAGAGGGTAGTGGGTAGAGATCGTAGAGGAGAGGGTGAACGAGCGAGGGGTGCCATGGCGCTGCTCAAGTCCGCTGGTGTGTGGTGTCCCAATCTGGGCGCACGGCCTGGGACGTATCATCATCGAGCTGACGAGCCCCGGATAATTGTAAGTTATTTTAGTGATCATGCGCATGATTCGAACTCACGTTCATTTCTTAACAATTACACGGGTGTCCCAATCTACCCGGAAAAAAAAATAAAAAAATGAAAAATCGTGGGATGGGTGGAACCGGAGGAGGCCGTCGCATGCGGCGAGGTGAAACGCAGCGTGTGCCCACGGCGTCGAGGTGAAACGCTGCGTGTGCCCACGGAAAATCGCGGGACGGGCAGAACCGGAGGAGGCCGTCGCGTCCGGCGAGGTGAAACTTCGCAGGGCCCGTGAGAAAGAGGGCGTGCCGCGAGAATCCGCGCGCCAGGGCGTCGCCACGGGCGCAGGCGGAGCGAGGTCGTGGGGGGGCGTGCAGAGGGAAGAGTGTGTGTGTGTGTGTGTGTGTGTGTGTGTGTGTGTG